TATTGTATTTATAATCACAATACAGGGAGCTATATAATCTGAAAATCAGAAAGTCATTAAAGCTCCAATTTAGTAACTTTAATCAATCTCTCTCTCTCTCTCTCTCTCTATATATATATATATTATACCCAATTATAAAAAAATATTATTATTATTGTTTTATTTTATCAGAATGGAGTGAGTGAATTTTCTGTACATGTATGCATTTATAATTGAATAATTTAATAATAATTATAATAATTAATTTATGCATTTAGCAGACGCTTTTATCCAAAGCGACTTACAGTGCATTCGGGCTATACAGTTTGTTTATTCACCATTTATTGACAAAAGAGGACTTTAAAGTCATTTCTCAAAGTCTCCAGGTTAAATGAAGGTCTTATTGGTGTTTCATAACACAAGTGACTGGAGAATATTTGACTTTTCGTCCCAACAGTCACGTTTTATAGCTTTAACGCTTGCGTCACTGACCAATGCGAGGCGAGCGTTGAAAATGACGCGCACCACTTCCGCCAGCAGACCCGCCCACATTCTCCATAAAAGGAAAGCCCATTAAACAAAAGCCGCAGCAGAATTCCGACAAGCCCCGCCTCCTGCGCCAAGATTGGCCAGTCGGAGCGGTTTAGTAGCCTCCGATTGGATAAGATCGCAAGTCATTCACGGAGCGATGGCGTCACGTCAAAGAATCCAACGTAAATATAGCGAGAGAATTAAACGAACGCGCTCTCAACGGACGCTTTATTTAGCCGCTGAGATAAATATTAATACATTAACGTCTCATTATTAATGTCAAACGTCCCCCTGAGGGCGGGGCTTGTGGGAATCGCGCGCAGGTCTCGTGTACGGCACCGTGTAGCGTGTTTTGCGTGACTGACGCTACGGAACGCTCGCAGAACGCTGTTCTAACGCGTTATATCTGAGGAGGACTGCAGATAGAGCGTGTTTTTATCGGTTACCGGATGAAGGCACGGTCATCGCGACACACGCACGTAAGTCGTTTGCGTTCTCTGAATGAACGAATGTCGCTCGAATAAACGTTTACGTGCTTCTGAGGGGAAACTAAACGGCAGGCCTGTGTTTAATGTCGCTAGCCGCGTTGCTTGGGCCTGTATCGCGATGTGGTTCGTGTGAAAGCTTGACGTTTAGACACGAAACTTTTCTCATTTTTAATGTAACGTACTATTACGACAAGTATCGATCATCTGATTACCTGATCTTTGACCGGTGATGATTGATTAGAGCTGCTGGAGATTAAGCACGTAACTGACCTACCTGGTGACGTCATGACGCTCGGCCCACAATAACAACGATAAGACTATTCAAGTTTATTTTATTTGTATAGCGCTTTTCACGATACACGATACTATCCTCCTGAGACCCAGCTGTGGAGTTTTTGTCTCTGTGGTAGACATTATATTTTAGTAAATTGTACATCCTTATGGAAATATGATAATATTTTGTAATTATCATTTGAGTGTGATTTAATTTTCAGATTGTTTGTCATGAATCAACATCTCAGGAAAATGTTATGGGGTTTCAAATCAAAATATGACTTTAAAAATATGATTTTATACATGTACACTGTAGAAGACACCAGGACTAAAAACATGTTTATTACGCATTTTGGAAGACATAACAAATGAATAGGGAAAGAAATGTTATTTTTTTATACATTTCTATGAAATATTAGATATTATTATGAAAATCCGGCCAATTATTACTCCCATTATTACACTTCTTCAACAGCACATTAATATGCAAATTAGATACAGTGTATAGATAACACTGTTTAATGGGAAACCGAGTTTATGGAAATTTTATACACATTGCATAAAAGCAAAATTGTATATCAAATCATTCTGTTAGATCTTTTAGTTGAGAATCATCTTTGTACAAAGTTGGGTATAAAAAAAATCCTAAAATCTAAAAATATAATTTTTCAAAAAAGTTATTTTTCCATTTTTTCTTATGCTTTAAACAATGTAAAGACATGAAAAAATACTAAATTCACAAAGCTTTTTTTTCTGGGTCTCAGGAGGATATCATTAATAATGTGTGATAGTAACATTTACTTGAATACTTAAGGTCTATTTGAAAATATAAGATGTTTAACGTTTGTAGAAACAGTAGTAGGACCGTATTTATTTATTTTCTATCTTATTATTTATATTTATTTTTTGTTAATAATTAGCTATATTTTTTACGAGTTTTATTATAATTTTTTTTTCTGTTTTCGTTTTAAGTGTAGTTACTTTTTTAGCCGTTTTGTTGTGTTTTTGTAATTTTTTATTATTAATTTGAATTTTAGTTATGTTAGTACGTCAAGTTAAACTACATGAAGATGAGACGTGCTGCTAGAGGAAATAAAATAAGTTAATATTTTTATACTTTATTTCTGTTAACAGTTAAATTTCATGTCAAGTGGCAACATTGGCATGTCTTTAACGTAACATTAATTCAGTTTTTGTAAAATTGTCTTCAGCATTTTTACTACAAGGCGTTTTCTTGAATGCTACCGTTTTTTTACTTAAAGTTTATACATACTACATTTATAGAAACATAAGTAACATGATGCATCAGCATGCTATTTTAATAATATTGAGATTTTATTAATATTTTGAATCAATTTTTATTATTATTATTATTATCATTTAAAAATATGCCAGTATAGTTTTTAAATTCATTTTTATTTCAGTTTTAGTTATTTTAGTACTTCAAATTAAACTAAATTGAAATAAGAAATGTTTTATTGCAAATTTTTTTCCAAATAGTTTTTCAGTTAAATTGATTTAATTAGATTTTCAGTTAACTGTAATAACCGTGATGCACAAGTCCTGTTTGTCTAATAATTCTTAATTAATATTTGCACTGAAAAGCTGTTTTAAAAGTGTAACTTCTGCAGAGCAGTCATGGTTCTGTCTGGTGTTTTAGGCTCGTACGGTGGAACAGGATGAGCTCGAGGCTGAAGGATGAAGGTCACATGAGAGCCATGGCCAGATTTAAAAACAAAAGGATGGGGAAGTCCAAGCCGGAGTCTGAGAGGGACTCGGGCTTCTCAGGTGTGTAGCGAGAGCTTTGGACTCTTCTGTAGGTACTGAAGTGTGTGAGATGATGTTCACGTGAGTGTTTCTGGCAGACGGCGGCTCGGTGGATCAGACGGACACAGACGATGCGTCGCAGCTGACCGCGGTGGTGAGCGGAGCGCTGCAGGGCCTCTCGCCAATGATCTTCATGAACAATGTGCTTCTACAGCAGGTGAACTTCAGAATATATATCACTAGATACCATTCACACAGAATGAGCTTTTGTGTTGATGAAGATGTGACACAGGCAGTGGAATAGCAAACACATGCAAGAAGATGGGAGTGAACTTCTCTTAACTTGAGCGCAGTGTTTTTAGAAAGCTGCTTCATGCATGAGACGCTGCAAGAGCAACAGTCAAACAGTCCATGTTTACACAGAAAAAACAATGGAAAAGCAGCGCAAGCGAATAATAAAACCTGTGAAGAACTATTACAGTATGTCTGATATTTCATGTTTGCATCACGCTGACAGACTGAAAGCTGCTGTTGTTTTTACAGAACATTTATAGTTAATAATACTCTACTGCTGTTATACCTTCAGTCATTATGAGTTTGATTTATCTTGACTTCTGAGAATATTTTAAAGCATTGGATTATTTCTGAACATGTAATATGTATAAGACAAGTTTGTACAAGATGTAGTTATAGTTCATGCATCTTTTCTGCAAAGATATTTAACAAGTGATTTGTTTAACATTTATATCTTCATGTGTGCTGCACTTGGAATAGAATTTTCTTTAACTAGAGGAAGTTACTGGAATCATGTCGTAGTTACATTTTCAAGTCGACTATTAAAAATCGTAAAAAATTGAGAATCGGTCAAACGTTCTGAAAAAAATCGAGATTTTAATTTTTTGCCGTATCGCCCAGCCCTAGTCTGGAGTACACATAGTATATGTAGAGTGGCTCGTTTTAAATAGAAAGTAAGGACTCTGTAAATCCAGAAGCTTGTGAGTTTGGCATTAGGATCACAGTGGAACGAGGTTTATCTAACACCATGTGAAGTCATATTTGAATTATAGATTAACCAATAACTAGTGTTTAATAGTTTGTGGTCGGTGAGATTTTAGAAGTTTTTAAAGAAATATCTTTACCTGTGCTGCTCACCAAGAATGCATTTATTTGATAAAAAATACTGTAAAAATTGTGAAATATTATTATAATCTAAATCAGCTGTTTTCTATGTGAATCTATATTAAGCTGTAATTTATTTCTGTGATGCGCAGCTGTATTTTCAGCATCATTACTCCAGTCTTCTGTGATCAAAGCTGAATTTTCAGCATCATTACTTCAGTCTTCAGTGTCACATGATCTTCAGAAATCATTCTAATATGCTGATTTGCTGCTCAAGAAACATTTCTGATTATTATCAATGTTGAACACAGCTGTGCTGCACGATATTTTTGTGGAAACCGTGATATTTCTTA